GGTTTTGCATTCCAGTTATTTTTTGAAGACTGTTATTTAGTTTAAACACAGAGCAAAGACCCTCCTCTAATTATCACTGACACCCAACATTAAGATACCACAAGAAGGAGAAGATGTTCACACATTTAAACAGTTTGTGTTGTGTTTCTTTGATGCCTGTGTGTGTGTGTGTGTGTGTGTGTGTGTGTGTGTGTGTGTGGTGTGTGTGTGTGTGTGTGTGTGTGTGTGTGTGTGTGTGTGTGTGTGTGTGTGTGTGTGTGTGTGTGTGTGTGTGTGTGTGTGTGTAGCCTCCAAGAGAGACTGCATCGAGCGTTTTGGACAGAAGACCATCGAGAGGATCAACAATGACGACGACGTCATCTGCACCACAGAGTACTCTCGAATCGTCCCGCTGGAGAACGGAGAGGTGTGTGTGTGTGTGTGTGTGTGTCTGCAAAACATATTTCACTTTAACGTCCACCGTATGTCACACACACTTTACTCCCAGATCTGCAGGTTTAATTTTTTCTTTTCAAGACTGGATTTCTTGGTGCTGAACTCTGGGATATTGTGTGTGGACACTTGTTTTTCCGTTTTAAAGGTTTCTTTTTTGGGCTTTTTGTGCCTTTGTCCAACAGATCGTCGTGTCCTTGGTGAACGGCCGCCCCGGAGCGCTGAACTTCTCCTACTCGCCGGTCCTCAGAGACTTCACCAAGGCCACCAACATCAAACTCAGTTTCCTGAGAACCAACACGCTGCTGGGACACCTGATGGGCAAAGCGCTGCGTGACCCCACTGTCACCCGCAGAGTGAGACCTCTTACACTTTAACCCCATCTTTGTTATATTTCTCCGTCTGTACTCCAGTCTGTGTGCCTTTTATGGGTCTACCTGGCTGCTAAACAAATCCATCTTAGGGACAATAAGGTGAAGTAAAATCTGATGTTAATGATGGTAATGTGTGTTGTTTTGATTTACAGTATTACTACAGTATCAAAGACATCAGTATTGGAGGGCGCTGTGTGTGTAACGGACACGCTGAGGCCTGCAACGCAGAGGACCCCAACGACCCCTACAAGTAAGATTTTATTTAGAATCCTTCAAAGGAACATTGAGTATCTCACACACACACACACACACACACACACACACACACACATTAAGGTGGAATGAGACGCACCGTCATGGCTCCCAGACTTGTGGCAAACCACCGTTGTTTTGACCGGGTTTGCGTCCTCAGATTGCAGATGAGAGGAAATTCTCAGTTAGACGCAGAGTTTAAAAATTGATTGATGTTATCATGTCGAGTCAGACATGTCTACCTGCCCTTCACACACACACACACACACACACACACACACACACACACACACACACACACACACACGAACTCAATGCTGCAAAACAGCACCTTACACAATTTCATATCCTCGAGCGATGGCTCTGATCTGAAGCTCGCAGGTTTCAATCATCCCCGGCTGTGGTTACTTTCTGTGCCAGAGTTCTCTGTCGGCGTTCCTGCATCACCTGTAACTCAAATCAAATACGAGATCTGTGACAACGCACGAGAAAACAGAGCGGGAGACTCAGATTGAATGAGGACATATAATGGGATCGCACAGAAGCTTGCACCACTCTGCAACGTTGTACAAATAAATAAGAAGGTTTATCTAGCAGAGATTTATCAGAGACTCAGTTTCAGATCTGCAGGGACAAGTCTGCGATGTTTATACCAAAGCCAAAATCAAGCCATTAGTGTCAAATCTCGAGATAAAACAACAGATCAAAACGAAGGTTAAATACCAACCTGACGTTGGAAATTAATTGAAGTGTGTCCTCTGTCAACGGAGATACATATTTGTTCACCAATGACTTTCAATGCATATTAATCCAATTTAATGCAGTTTTTAGTCTTTAAATAGTTTGTTTTACTTAAACTTTTCCTCTTGTACATGTGAGAAATAATGCATTATAAGACGTCTGGATGTATGTCATTGATTGACAAGGTTTGAAACATCATCACAAAATTCTACTGTCTGCGTTCACACATGCAGCTCCTCCAGGAAATATCAGTTTTCTGCAAGTGTGAATGCCATAACATAAGAAAGTAAAAACCTAAAAAATATAAATAAATAAAAAGCGAAGACAAAAAAACAACAAATATTCCAGGATGGGGGGAAGAGTCTTGACAACAGGTTGGATGACTTGTTCGGTATAGTTTCAAAAACCACATCAAATTGTAAATTCTATAATAGATATACTCGTTCAACAAATCTACATATTCTGTCACATTAGATACATTTAACGGTACACGTATCAGGTGGAATGAAGCAGTTACAGTTTGTGTTTTTATTCTTGTTTTATTGCATGAGAGAGTTGAACATTGAAGACAGGTGGAGAGAAGGTGCAGGATCAAATCTGAGCATTCTGTAAGCAACAAATGATGACAATGTGAAGTTTAAAAAACAACCATAATGACGTTTTTTTCCCTAAATTTCAATGGAAAGAACATCTGGAGACTG